ACCTGCAATGATTGAATCAGTTCAGGCTCAGGCTTTTTGAATATCTGTCTCTAGCCAAGCTGTTTTATACATACCCATAGAACTTCAGAGAGGTGACCCTTCCCAAAGAGAGACATCGTAGTTGAAGCAATACAAATCCTAGCAGCAATAATGATAAGGGACTGTTAATTGCTTTATCCAGATTACAAAGAAGTTTATTCCATAGATCCAAAATGGGAAAAAATACTCACCTCAAAAAGAGCTGTTGCAGCACCTGGTTTGTCTCACCTGGATACTGCTCCCCTATCTCTGTGTTCATCCTTGCCAGTCTGTCTGAATCCAGCATGTCAGTAGTCTGATATCCTATCTCTAACAGCAGCTGCTGTTTCAGAAGAATGGGAAAGAAACTCCCATGTTGGCAGAACTGGGGTAATCTGCCCCACTTTGGGGGAAACTCCCTCTGAACCCTAAAAGGGAGACATTTGCTCAAGCCCTGAAGTAGGACATACATCATCCCTAAAGCTTTCCCTATTATTTGCCAATTAATTCTCTACATTCTTGTTATCCACTCAGAGGCCAATTCCTTTCTAAATTCTGGCCTCAGCAACATGCTGTGTTAATTAACTCCTATGTATGCATTGTTTAGAGAAGCCTTTGCTATTCTCAGTTTTGAATCCCCCACTTTCCAGTTCCATTGGCTTTGCCCCTGTTTTCTTGTTACGAGACAGGGAGAAGTGAAGCTCCCAATCTCCCTTCTCTAAACTATTCATCGTGCTATAGGCTTCTATTATTTGCCTTCTCGTTTGTCTCCTCAGCATAGAGACAGCCCCAGTGTTTTTATTCTCCCTTCATTTAAGCGATTTTCTAAAACCTTTTTCATTGTGACTGCACTTCTCCAAACATGTCAGTGTGCAATACCCTTTTTAACTGTGTCTCCACTGCAACAGAGAAATGTGACTGCAGTATGTATGAGCTTACCCAAGCTAGCTTGAATCTGGCTAGCAGAGGTAACAATACAATGCACAATCCATGCAAGGAAACCTACCTGTTTACTTGAGTATCTAGACCATGCTGAAGCACATGCCACTGGCAGCTTCACTGCTCTTGGTATTCAGACTGGATAAAGCAAAGCCAGCTAGGATGCACCTGTATGTTCCACACTGATTA